GAAAGTGTGTGGGTTCGAAAAAAATATCGCTGTGCTCAGAAAATGAAGTTCTTTCAGATGATATATAAAAACCGATATATTTTTCAAAATTAAAGAACCCAATTACTTTAAATAATGCTTCAAGTTGATGCATTGTTTTGAATCAATAAAAACCGATGTTTCAGTCAATAAACATTGAAGTATTATTTCAACTAAATGTTTTGTTGAATTACTCCATCAATTTTATTGATCCATATTCAATTCAAAATTTTGTTAAAAATGAAACGAATTTTGTTTGGTTGAACTATGTTTTTTTCTGCGTGTACGCTCCTAGAAATTTAGTTAAAATCTATACAGAATCATCATAAAATCGTCGTCAGAATTCTCTTCAAAATTTCCGGATTTCGGATCTCTATGAAAAATTTCAGGATTCAGGATTTCCTCAGAACAACCATGGAATTCTCCTTAGGTTTCAACTGAAATTTGAAGATCTTCAGAACTACCTTGAAAACCAGAAGGAACGACACATTAGGATTTTCCCATTTTTACCTAAATCTCTGATAAAATTTTCACCGTGCCCAAAATTTCAACAAAATTCCAATCCATCCTACCTATTGGCGTTGACGGCACCGTCGAAAAATTGTCTCTTCTAGAAAAGATTGACAGTTTCTTATGGGATTTTTCGGTGGAGTTAAAGGATAGTGCAATGTCCGCCATGTTTCACGTACAGTCTGACGTTTGCTTATGGATTTTACTAAAGAGCCTGAATTTATAAAGAGACGACATCTTATCCATTTGACAGGTCTTCTGCTCGATTGGAATGACTTTTCCTATGACTTTGACAGACAATCGATTGTTCCAATTTTGACATGTCGCCCATGTCGCCTCTTTATAAATTTAGGCTCTTTAGATTTTACCATAGCAGTAAAGAGCTACAGAGTTGCCGTCAACGCCAATTCTTACTATTCTCAACTTATCCCTTCTGCATGCATGCAGTGCGAGGATAGAGCTGGAATTAGGGTGTAACAGCTTTTGTAAACAATGACTTCTCTCGTTGATTTCTAAGAATTCAAGGCACGCCTACACAAACCAACATATCCATCGGGTAGGGAAAGTCTTCCCTACTCGATGGTAATATCGATTTGCCATTATGATCAATCGACTGCTTTTAGGGCAACACTGCATCTTGCACTTATGATATAGTAGCCTGAATTTGTTGCCCAATTCAGTGTAAACATTTCAAAAGGGCATAATTGCGTTTGTAAACAATGGCTTTAGCCATCGAATTCTCACGAATTAAAGCTTACTCATGAAGATTAATGACACCAGCAGGTAGAGGAATGTTTAATTAACCAGCTAGCATTGTTAATTTGAAGGGATGGGCTTTTATTTGCGAGAAATCGATAGTTCAAGTCATTGTTTAAAAAAGCAATTATGCCCCTTTGACATGTTGGCACTGAATTCTTCCCACCAAGCACACCAATGTTGCCTGCTGAGCAGTTTATTGACCATTTCTGAAGAATATAATCTTCCTAATTAATTAATATTGCCGATTGCAGTGGAACGTCAAAATGCATACACAGCAAAAAAAAATGTAATATCGATCAACGTAATTCAAGCTGATGTATGAAATAATGATGTAATAGCAAAAAGCAGATACAATATTACATTAATGGATGTAATTTTGTTCGCAAAATCGATGTACATCGTACAATGTGATATTACACAACCGATGGATTGACCTGGTTGCAGCAGTTTCGATGTAATATTCAACAACTTTTTTTGCTGTGTACACTGAAGGGCCACCCACATTAGATCCGTTTGCGTAGCGTTGACGTAAATTTGACTTCCAATCCGGATCTAATGTGGGTGGCCATTGAGAAAGCAATAGTCTTCTTCTTCTTTCCTTTATTTAACGTCGGTCTCTGTTCCGCAATCTAGTGCCAATCACCGACGGACATCGATTGCCATCCATTGACGGCAATCGAACGTGCAGGAAGGCAGCTTCCACACCTGCGTAAGATATCGAGCAACCATTTCGTTAATTTTCTATACATCGATCTTCAAAGCCATTCATAAGAAAAATCGATAGCGATCGTCACCATTTCATGAATAATCGTAAAGATGCTAAAAGTCTAATCGTGAATCGTTTATAAAGATCTTTCTCAAAATATTGCAACCAATCGTTACGAATGTTAAAATATCGATTGTGTTGCCAGATCAAAATATCGATTTCTGTTGTAAAATCAAAATATCGATACACAACTACTGATTTTATTTGTGATTTTTTATCTGCATAATTTCTAGTTTCGATCCCATGCCATCTGGGGTGTACTGATTTCGTTGCTGGTTGCACTCTAGTATGTGGTGTATTGAAATTTCTGTAAATCTTTTCATACATGAATTCAGTCATGTAGGTGTAATAGAGGTCAAAAAGGTATCAATTTTCCTCATTGGGTTTCAAATGCCGAGAATCCCACCACGCATGCTATCACGGGTTATTAAATATATAGACGTAAACTTGAAGAACATCGGTCTTCTCATTCATTTACCAGCAAATTGCTTCTTCCGATGAAATGCCGAATATGTCGATAAATAATATAAACATTGACATCTGTCACCTGGTGTGTTTCGAACTCTCTTTAACCAGCGATGCAAATCGATAACAAGGAGATTATAAATGTGCATCGATGGCAATCTTTGTTGTTCTTTGTCAAAGTTCAAAGTTACGATGATATCAGTATTTAAATATTTATTGATGAATATTTGTAAAGAATACTAAAGTCCATGGTACATATCGAAATTAAAAGAAATTTAGTATGGCACCTTTATAGATTACTATCATATGACCGATGAAGAAATAATCTTAAATGTAAGTATCGATCAATTAAGATTTTTAAATGTGTAACATCGAAATTATAGAAAATTTAAAGTAAAGAATTGCCGACATAAATCTTCATTTCTGTATAAAGAACTTTGAAGAAGTTTCACGAACGGTTGGTTAAATGATCAAAGCAAGCTTAACATTGCATTAGGTCCTAAGTAACATTGATCGATTCTCTTCGTCGACTTTGTCTTTCGTTAATAACTTGAGCACATAACCGTTTCTTATTGTGTTTGTGATATTAATAGCTAGATAAAAGTTTGTTTTATCGAACTATGTGCTGGGAATGTCTTTACATGGCCGTGGGGATACAAAGAGAAGTCGACGAAGAGAATCTGTTAATGTTACTGAGGACCTAATGCAATGTTCAGCTTGAAAGTTGAAACTTAAAGGAATGAATAGTCCTAAAAAGTTCTTCACACGTACCGATTAAAACAACATACCGGATCCTAAGTAGTGATCCATCGCCACCACCCATTCCTCCTACAGTGCAGTTTTGACCTATTCGATACGGAACCGTGTTCTGCACTTGAGCTGTGAGCTTTGGATAAAGTTGTTGGGCGGTGCCCCGGTATCGCCGATTAACCTTAAGTTCCAGAAATCATGTTTTTACACAACCCAAAACTTTAAACGCGTTTTTCTCGAAACGGTGTTTTTCAAATTGGCGGGAAAGATAACTCAAAAAGTTCTCATCCAAATTACTTGAAACCTGGCGCATCTTAAAGGAAATAGATTTTTACTCTATGTGAACTACTGATATCATGAAAAAATTAACAATAAATAATTTTCAGGTGGAAAAAACAGTGAAAAATCAATTCTTTCAGATATTTTTTTCTAAATGTTTAAATCGTTTTTTTTGGGTGTTAGAGGTTCACATAGAACAAAAATCTTTTCTGAATAAGGTCCAATTGATAAATGTAAGTTTTGTCCATTTTCAGGTCTCTAGAACGCCCACCAATTACCAATCCCCACCGGAGGTAACCTCCTTTCGATGTGACCCCAAGGAGCCACAGAGGTCACACACCAATGGAAAAAAAAAATCTCAAATGTAGAGGAAGATTTAAGTAATTTAATGCAAAAAAAACTCCAAACGTTTGCGTTGTTTCATATGCTCACAAAAAAATTCCGGAAATCGTCGAGTTTTTGACGTGTTACTTGTATTTCCCCCCTTAACTTATCAGATTTAGTGATGACGTTTTTTGAACTGTATATAGCTTTACATAAAAAAAAAACAAAAAATCGGAATTTTCATTTACAGTTTAAATTTCGTTATTAAAGTACATTAATTACATTTTTAATACTTTTAATTACATTAATTACAGATAGATAATTTTAATTACCGTCAGTACTACTTCAAAACGCATTAATTACTGTAAGTACTTTTGATTGCATTTTAACTTCAACGCACCGGTTATTTGTATTGCGTGCCCCTCGCGGCTCCATATAATTGTTTTGCTCAAGTAATTGAATTTCGTTACAAATTTAGCTAATAACAAAATATGCACATGTTCATCACTGACAGCATTGTCACTGACAATCGACATGGTTTGCCTTGACGATGACTGTTAGCTTCAATGAGTGGCCAAAGCAGAATTTTGAATATCGCCGTGTATTGTCGAGATTTTGCAGCACTGCGCCGCCTTGCAGCAGATTTTTCACCTTTTTACACCTATATCCTCTTCGCGTTCAGACTCGTATCTCTCTGAAGTTTTTTAACACCCCTCACATCTATTTTCGTCAACACGACATATTTTAAAAATCCAATCAATTATGTTTCCCCCGAAAATCCCAAGTAATTACTGGACTGAAAAAAAAAAAATACAAATGAGTGTCGTTCCCCCAGCATATTTCACTTGAAATAAATGAACTCTTCTCGGGCTAATTCTGTACATTTTTCTGGAATCATTCATTGTCTTGCTCTCTCTTTAAAAATAAAGACCTGTTCAAGAACGTTCCCGAAAAAATCTCTATCATTAAATATTTTCCATATGACAAAAATTCATACCATTAGGGTTCGAAACAAAATCATTAATACAAGGTATTATAGATATTAGAATATAAATTTAATGCTATGATTGACAAATAGTAAATTTGTCGGAATAAATTTCAGTTGTATTAGTTAAAATGTTATGATTTTTTATGCATTTTGAATTTTTTGACCACCCTAATGAAAAATAAGCGAACCACAATGTGAAGCATCGCGTATCAGATGCCAATTAGTGGTTTAATTCGATATACAAGCAGGTTGGGGTCCATGCATTAATTATGTCACGCTACATCGAGAAAAAATTTACCCCCTCCTCCCTATCGTCACGTTTTTCCTATACCTAATGCAATGCTTGTCACAAAATCTTAGACCCCCCTCCCCTTAGAGCGTAACATAATATATGCATCAACCCTTGGAGATGATTGAGAATAGTTTTAAATATGCTTGCAAATGCTCATTAAGGGCTGTTCATAAACTACGTAGACCGATTTTTAGTAGTAGTAGTAGTAGTAGTTGCCCCTCTACCCCCTTACAACGCATATGAACCTGTAAATTTAGCTTTCAGAGGATCACAATAGCGCTAAGCTGTAACGATGAGCAATCGCGATGAGGGAGCAATCAGCGATCATAAAATCACTAGTTGCGACCTTTTGACAAATTTTATGTCACTAGCTGGACCCCGTGCGATCGTTGCTACGCTACTAAATGAACGAAAATTTAATAGAATAGTTATGCAGAAATTTTAGTTTAATTTGTATGGGAGACCATTATTTCCCGGCCCCAAAAAATTATATATATATATAAATATACATAATGCACTGAAGTTCGTTTATGTTTTTTAGAAATCCGAAAACTTTACGCCTCGCATAATTCACAGATTTGGATACCAACTTGTTTGAACTTTAAACAGCAACATTTTCTACAAATGGGAGTTGCTTTACTTCAATAGAAATATTAATCAATAATGGCAAAGCCCTAATTTATCATTACTGTTATAATTTTACTATTTCAACGTTGCTTCAACAGTAACTCCAGTAAAACTCATTTATGGACAGCGAATGAACTAACTGATATATACACTATTCCACTAAATAAATAACAGAAATCACGTCTTCAATTGAACCTAATGCCATCAAGGAGCTGGTAGATTATACGGATGCATATTTTGTACATCGAGCTTATAATAATTCGTGTTAGGTTCTGTAGTTGTTTCTAAGGTTTTGTTTCTTGGACTGTTAAGACAAACAATCCATTGTATGATTGACGTAAATTCTCAACCGAAAGTTGTTATCTTCGAAAGCGTGATTTCTCTATTAAGATATAAACTCAAAAGCAACAAAAATCAATCGGAAATATCGAATATGACTGACTCAGGTGGTGCCGGTTCCGGGGCAGGTTGGCTTGGGTCCTTTTGTACTTTGAAGCAGAGAGTAATCCAGTTTTTACTGTCCGTTCTGGTGTTTTTGCTGCTGTAAATACATATAAGAGATCCAGGTTGGTCAAAAGTTTAACAGATGTGGATAGAATGGGCTGTGTGTAAATTAGGGCTTACTCTCAGGGTAAAATTAAGGATGATATAAATTTGTGAATAACGGTAGTATTGTCCATTATTACCATCGATCCTGATTAAAATCTCTTAAATGAATCACAAATACAGTGCAAATTGCAATAATTTTATATTATTTGTAATTTAAATTATAACTATGATATTATTCATATTTATGGCTTTTTGAACAACTTTGGCGCATAAAATGTAATGAGACACAATTGGGGGCAAATTATCCATAACTCAAAATATGGAAACATCTGTCCAAAAGTATTCAGAAAAATATCTATTTTAAATTTATTAATCAAATTTTAAGAAGAGCTTTGAGTGGGTTGGTTTATTTCCTGTGGTGTGTGGTGTTGAGTACTTGGCACTGATGAAGTCTGCAAGTAGTACACGAAATACGCGTATCTGTAAAAAGATAAGCAATTATAACGGAATTTAAAGGAAATAAACCAACCCACTCAAAGCTCTTCATGAAGGGATTCCGTTAAGAGGTTTGACAAATTAAAAGGATTCAAATTTTAAGGCAAATGCATGAACTGACGATTCTCTACCATGGTTAAGTAAAGAGCTTTCATACTTACCGATTTGATTCGACTACATTAGGTGCTTCTGTTTCCGGGGCAGTCCCGTAAGCTGCTGAAAACATTGATGGCCTGCGAACGGGCCAATCATGGTGTCCCCTAATAGACAGATATACGCTGAGACTTTTCATCAGTGCGATTCGTACCTACAATTGTGTAAAGAATTAAAGAGTCAATCTAATAAGGTGTATAGTCTGAACATAGCTAAACATCCCGGACCAGGCAAATTTTAACTTGTTATGTTGTTCAAATACACATCCAGTGATAATTCAGTTCCAGCGAGTGAAACAATCTGTAACAAACAGTAACAATCTTACCTCTCCATTTAAGAAACAGTACAACAGAGCGATGAACAATCCCTGGAACGATGTTAGGAAGTGCGTGACGTACGACCAAAGTGCAAACTCTAGCGCTGTTCGGTGCAACGGTGCCTCAGTCATGTTAAGTATATTGGTTATTCCTAATAATGGCACTAGAACGACGGCCGCCCGCACTGCTTTTCGAACCTGTTCTACATCACTTGTGTGGCTCTGGCGCAACTTAACGATTAACACTCTAATGATATTGAGTAAAAATATGAAATTCAACTGCAAAGAGAACGATTTTTTCAGATGTGACTTCATTTCCATAAATAATTTGATTTACTGACCAGAACTACTGCTAATCTTGGACCTTCTAGAATCCAGTAATAAGGCGTTAGGTTGTATCCCCACCAGCATCTTTTAATCCGGAACAACAGAAGAAAAAAGTAATCAAGATTCATCATTATGGTTTTCATGTACTATTTCTCGTGACGGACGATTGGATGGAGGTGATAATGATAAAGGGATTAACTCTTAAATGTAGTTTTAAAAATCATAAAAAATATGTGCTACACAATTTGATCCAATATTGACAGTTAGTATAAATTTAGTTAATTTGAAGTTTAAATTAGTTATAATCCCGTCATTCTACTACGTATGTCATTGCCGAACAGTCGCTGAAGAAGGCCACGGAGAAAACAAAGTTTACTGGAGCGGTTAAGGCTTCGAAGAAAAATGACAGCATGTGAGCTAGAGATCAAAAAGACGACATGAAGTACTGTGAAAAAGAAAGAAGAAGAGAAAAATAAAAAAAACAGGAGAAGAAGAAACACGAAAATAAGAAACACGAGAAGAAGAAACACGAGAAGAAGAAAGAGAAGCCAAGGTCTCGAAATTTTATCTTCTTTCGAGACCTTGGCTTCTCTTTCTTCTTCTCGTGTTTCTTCTTTTCGTGTCTGTGCCTAGGGGCAAGAACGGAAGCTTGACGTAGGACCGCTAGTGGACGGAATAAATGTGAAGAGCATTTAGTTATTTTAATTGATCAATCATCTATTATCTAAACTCATTCCGATTTTGAATTGTAGACGTACCAAATTTGTAGTAATTTTTTTCAAAGAGAAAGTTGATGATGAGAATTAATCAAAATCACTTGTACCCCTGCTTCTTAGTTTGGTTACACGATTACAACTCTGGAGAGCATTTTGTGTGGTCGTTGGGGGCCTGTGGTTCTGAATATGGACACACAGGCACAGATAAATTCTATTCCAACTCTTTACTGTTACACGGACAGAAAATTGTTTGCATTGAAAGAAAAAAAACTTTATTTGTATTTACACAAACAATTCCGGTTGAAATTATGTTGCATTTTATTGTTTCGATAATATTTATTCAAATAAATTCAAAATAAGATTCTTTTTGTTTTCATAAGCCACTCTTCAACTGCAACTATTGTAAAAACAACAATATTCTTTTATTAAGCCAACAACAGTTGATTTTAATTTAACATTTATTTGTTGTGTCTGTTCCCCGGGCCATGAATGCAAAAATAACTACCAACCATTCCCTCGTTTCCACCCGGACAAAAATGTAAACAATAACAAAAAAATTCTCGTTTGATTCAGCTCTAGAGGTAAGCAAGTATGCTGCAGTCGCAAAATATAAACAGTTTTTCTTTTTTATCCTTTATTTTTTCCGTCGATCTTATTTTCAGTACTGTGTACCAATGCTCCCGACGCCAGGAAGGCCGATCCCACACCTGGACCCTACTTATCGACCCATCAACTCATGAACCGGAGAGATTTTATGCCTCAGAAAGGTTTCAATTGTTATTCTGTTTGTTACAAATAGAAAACAAAACATAAAAATAATCCCAAATTATTGAATAATGAATCAATAAACATATTTTTATTTCTACTGCGTATATTGTCAGTCTAAATAAAATAAATTGATTGAATCAACAAGAAATCTCTTTTAAAAACAAACATATTTTTTTGTTGACCCATCACCTGCCAAATTTGACAGCTTACGTCAAAACCATAAAAGCTCTCTTGTAAATTCGAAAATATTTTCTTTTTGATTTAACAATCCATGGGTTTTTAGAAACAAAGATACTGGATTGTTGAAATAATAATGATTTCTTTTTGCAGCCAAAACAAAATGAAATTCTTATTAAATTTACGTCAAATATTATTACGTTTAAAATATTTTTTTCTGCGTGTATAAGCTTGATGGCCTGAAAAGGGCCGTTTTATTGCAGAGGACGTCCATGGCCACTTACACAGCAAAAAATAGATTTTTATATTACATCCAAGAGGATGCACTTCAATCACGACGAAAATCTCATGTAATTTATATGGCCACAAAAATAAACAAATGCAGTAAAGGCAACGTAATTTCAGTTCATGCACAGTATTAATGATATTTTTGTCCTTTTTGGCAAGTAATATTACACCATATTTTCGACACGATTGAAGTGCATCCACTTTTATGTGATATCAAAATTATTTTTTTGCTGTGTACGGTTGGCGTATTTAGCACCACGGACCTCATTTTCCAGTAACACTTTCAGCACACCTCGTAGATCAGACCGGAGATACGTTTAGACACCACCACGGCGACCCAGACGATGGATGGCGGTTATCTCGAAGAACTTTGCGATGACGCTTGGCGCCTATTTAACCAAGACCTTTTCCTCCTTTGTTGTTGTTGTTTCCTCCAGTCAATTGTTGCTTGTTGGATGTAGAAGAGTGAACTAGCCACCGCCTTCCTACTGCTGCTATTGCTGTTCATTACGCCGTCCGAAGCGAAAATGAGCTAATGCCATACAGCAGCGCTCTTTTATATCTTTTCAGGTTAAAGCAAAATGATGTGCAACCAAGTGGTACTCGATTATGAGGACTGGGTTTGGGAAGAATGTTTATGTCGTGAAAACAGTGATAAAATTATCACTTTTTATTTGTACATTGGACAATGCTTCACATTACCACTTTTTCAATAGCTTCACGTTAAAAATCACCAGTCGGAATGCTATGCGTATAAAGATCTCTGATCGATTGGTGATAAAATTATTTAAATTGGTCCAGGAGCAACTGAGTTATTAATGTTCAACATCTTCCATAATTTTGTTTCATGTTCCTTTTTCGGTTTTCACAAAGTGTACCCCCAGTATAGAAATGAAAGACGTAGTCCTACGTCAAAATGCGACGCTTTGTTAGCCAAATTAAAAGGTATAATGTTGTACACAGCACTCCTCCCGAAAGTGAGCTGATGGAGCAAGAAGACGAAGTAGTCAAAACCAGGCGTACCCAGAAAGGAGATAATGTTCTTCGAGGTCGTCGAGAAATCTTTATATGAGGTGGAGAAACTCTGGAGACGGTTTTCAAATGCAAAAATCTCAACGAGACGAGTTGAGAGATTCACTGAAGGTGCAAATCGAGCAGGGTAAAGAACCGATGACAATCCGGATCAAGTGGGTGGCACGAAGGCACGCAGACGGTGATTATAACACTTTTGACGGCCAAAGCTAACACGAAAGTCGGATAGTTAGTGTGTTCGCTCAGGGCCATCTAGCATCGAAAGAGATGCATGGGCTTAGTTTTTACTTTATCATCGTGATTTTTAGCTGAAGGCTAGTTCATCACGCAGCATAGGCTTCGGTCACCAGGCCACACAAGATCTGAGCTGTGTAAAATATGTGATTTGTAAGAAGTCACCTAGATACATGCTCTGCAAAACGAACGACGAGACGACCATATGAAGGGAGGCTTCAAATACCCAGAATTCATAAAGATGTTGGTGCACGGCCAATCATATCAACTCAGCGACTGAGAATAATTGACTCAGAGATTTTTTTCCCATACGAAATTTACTCAGATTTGGAAGAAACTGCAGTTACTCCATAGCTTATGAGTAACTGCAGTTTCTTCCAAATCTGAGTAAATTTCATATGGAAAGAAAATTCTCTGAGTCACTTATTCTCAGTCGCTGAGTTGGTATGATTGGCCGTGTGGACAAGAAGTAGTGGAGGTAGCTCAATTAAACCAGGGGCACAGTACACACTTAGAAATTATCACCGACTTCGCCGACACCGACTTGAATCCGCTCCTCTCTCATACTAGGACCCTCTCTAGTTGAAACTATATCACCAAGAGGCATGCACTATTGTGTCACATTAAGGCTGTGTTCCATTTGGTAAATTTTCACTTAAATTTGACAGCTGGAAAATTTTCAAATAAACCTTCTTCTTCTTTCCTTTATTTAAGGTCGATCTCTGTACCGCAATCTAGTTCCAATCACCGACGGACATCGATTGCCATCCATTGACTGCAATCGAATGTGATAGCTTGGGACTGCTTGGGACCGTTGTTCTGGTACTGAGTGAGCCAAAAATAATAATGATTTTCTTCGGGACCCAGTGGTCTTAGAGTTACCTCTATGGTTAAAGTTAGCTTTAACGTCTTCAATGCAAATTTAATTGAAAACGTCAACGCTGACGTTAGCGGCGTGATTGTCCTTAGCAGCCCTGGTCAGGAATAACCACGCTCGAATAAAGGGTGATACGGTCAAAATTTGGTCAAGGGAAAACGCGTGTAAATCGGTGAAATCGTTTATTTAAAAAATCAAATTAAATTTCTTTTTCAAGTTCAATTAGTATAAAATTCAGGAAAAATATTCAGTTAGGCTTCCGCTTTTCCAAATCCGAATTGCCGGGCCTTACGCTTGACCCCTGCCATCAGATTTTGTACAGCCACCTTGTCCACCTTCTTCGCCGCAGAAAGCCAGTTTGCCTTGAACTGCTGCTCGCCCTTAGCAGTTTTTTTGGTCTTCTTTAGGTTCCGCTTGACAATAGCCCAGTATTTCTCAATTGGGCGGAGCTCTGGCGTGTTGGGAGGGTTCTTGTCCTTGGGAACCACCTGCACGTTGTTGGCGGCGTACCACTCCATGGCCTTTTTACCGTAATGGCAAGATGCCAAATCCGGCCAAAACAGTACGGAACAACCGTGTTTCTTCAGGAAAGGCAGCAGACGTTTATTCAAACACTCTTTCACGTACATTTCTTGGTTGACAGTCCCGGAAGCTATGAAAATGCTGCTTTTCAAGCCACAGGTACAGATGGCTTACCAAACCAGATATTTCTTTGCGAACTTTGACAGTTTCATGTGCTTGAAAACATCTGCTACCTTTCCCCTTCCTTTTGCCGTATAAAACTCCTGTCCCGGAAGCTGCTTGTAGTCGGCTTTGACGTAGGTTTCGTCGTCCATTACCACGCAGTCAAACTTCGTCAGCATCGTCGTGTCCAGCCTCCGGGATCGCGCTTTGGCCGTCGTATTTTGTTTATCATCGCGATTTGGAGTCACTACCTTCTTGTAAGTCGATAGTCCGGCTCGTTTTTTGGCTCGATGCACGGTTGTAGACGATACACCCAGCTTATTTGCGGCATCTCGGAGAGAGAGGTTAGGGTTTCGCTTGAAACTACCGGCAACTCTCTTTGTCGTCTCAGCGGCTTCCGGTTTTCGATTTCCCCCCGATCCAGACTTCCTGGCTGTCGACAAACGTTCCCCAAACACTTTAATTACATTTGTAACGGTTGATTTGGCAACTTTTAGCGATTTTGCCAACTTTGCGTGCGAGTAGCTCGGATTTTCGCGATGCGCGAGCAAAATTTTGATACGCTGCTCTTCTTGCTTGGACGGCATTTTGACAACTGAAGAGTGAATTCCAAAATCAAAATAGGAGCAACATTCTACACACACACACCTTCAAAATGAGGGGTGTTCAGGTTTTTTAAATGCAAAATTGAAAGAAATACGTCAAGTTGATATTGACCAAATTTTGACCGTATCACCCTTTAGCAGGGTTAATCTATAACTTTTCATCTGTCACTTTTAACTACGATATAAATTTATCTGGGCTACAAAATGGTGAGTTGACAACTTGGAAGGAGCGTGGTACCTAGCTCCGGTCCTGACAAGTCCCCACCTCACGCCTCCACGATTCATATGATTACTAACGACTACCAGCTGAAACATGGACACAGCTGGGTGGCGTTGCATGGGAAATATTGCCAATTCAACAATAGCAAAGTGAGGAGGTGCGACGCGAACACTGGCGCGGTAACAATAGCAAGGCGGTAGAGGAAATGATTCGCCAATGCGTCTGTCCACCACGGATGTGCAGCTCAAACAGCATCTAACTGGCATCCTGCTGCAGAATAAGAAATGCTCTTCCCCGGAAGCTACATCTAAGATGGCAGCCTCATTACGGGGATAGGAGACCTTAGGTCAACCACCTACACAGCAAAAAAAATGTAATATCAATCAATGTAATTCAAGCTGATGTATGAAATAATGATGTAATAGCAAAAAGCAGGTACAATATTACATCAATGGATTTAATTTTGTTCGCAAAATCGATGTACGCTATATTACACAACCGATGGATTGACCTGGTTGCAGCAGTTTGGATGTAATATTCAACAACTTTTTTTTCTGTATACTGTCTTTGAAATTTATATATTGCGCAACACTAGTGCTTTGCTGTCTTCTGCAAAACTGTAGAACGTGAAATTTTATGAAAGTTTACTGAAGAAATAAAACCAGTAAATCTTCAAACAACAAAGATATACGATGTTTTGTAAAATTTGTCTGAAATTAACGTTTTTAGTATTAAGTTTTATAAATTCGATCAAATGAATACTTTTATCAGTTTTGGTCTAGCCAATATTTTCCAGAGCAGTAATTTTTTTTCCGAGTACTAAGAAATAAATAGTATATTAAATTTGAAAAAAAAAACACTACATGATTTTCAGAATGGTTTTTCTCAAGAAAGTGTAAGTGGACGCAAAATGTTATCCATTATTCAAAATGAACATCAAAAAGACTATCATTCGTAAAAATATCACAGAGGTATATTGAGAGTCATATCTCAGACAAACAGACATAACACTCGCAAGTTGTTCTTCGAACAAGCATTTGACGGTAAATTTAAGAGTATCGCAGTTGGTAGTACCGCCACTAGTGGCGCGCACAGTCAATTCCCTTGCGTTTGACGTTTACACACTACCGCCATCTGTGCAGCGTACTACCCACCATAGTGTACTCAACAGATGGCGGTAATGTTTTAGCGACGATAATGTGTTATGTCTGTTTATGTTTTCTGTCTGTGTCATATTATTCTTTTATGTAAATTATCCTATATGGGTCAAGTTTATGTGGTGGGTCACAACCCCCTGATTCCAACTTTTTTTTTAAAGTACTAGCTGGACCAAAACCGATCGAAAAATTTCACGTTCTTCAACATTGCTGGTGATAGCAAATAAAGAAGGTGGTATCGCTGCGCCATATTTGCAGCAAAAACTTTAACAATTTCGATAACGTCTGCAATGGTTAATTTGCATTACAGACGTTTTTTTTTTTCCTTTGAGTTGATTTCCGTCGATCTTGTTTTCCGTGCTGAGCACCAATGCTACCGACGCCAGGAAGGCAGCTCCCACACCTGGATCCTACCTATCGACCCATCAACTCATGAACCGGGGACAAACGGTTTTACTTCCATTCCGAAGGAAGGCGTGATCAGAGATGTTATGCCTCAGAACATCCCGGCGGCGCCGACTGGGATTGAACCCAGGCCTGCTGGGGTGAGAGGTAATCACGCTTACCATCACACCACCGGCGCCGCTACATTACAGACGTTAACGCATACCTTATTGACGGATATAAATTAACATCCCTGGTCCTAACTAAGGCTGTGTTCCATTTAGTGAATTTTCACTTAAATTTGACACTTCGGAAATAAATTATAATGTTTGAAAATTCCTCTGCTGTTGATCACCCGATTTTCGTGAAGGTGTCTGTCAAAATTGATTCCTTGTCGGTCAGAAATAAGTCTGCTGGAATAGCAGGTTTATTTGAACAATTTTCATCTGTCAAATTTAAGTGAAAACTCATCAAATGGAACACAGCCTAAGCCTGTGAACCATTGTCAAGTTAAACTTAACTCATGGTTAAATGTGACATTTCGAAAGTTATTCTCTATGTTCGAAAATCCCTGTGTTGTCGATCGACCAGTTTTCGAGAAGAACTCAGCCACGGTTGCACAAATTTAACTTATTGTCTTTCAAATCTAACCACGCTTGTATAACAGGGTTAATCAATAACATTCCATCTGTTAAATTTTAACCAAAAGTAAAAAAAAAAATTCATTTAACTCAACTCCAAACATACACTTTTCCTGCTATATTTCATTCCGGACCCACTGTGGAATGGAGTTGGAGAGGAAATGACCAGCACGTCTCCGGTCTCCGTTTGCTTGAAGTGCATGTAGCGGTGCTGTTGATCCGAATAGAGAAGTCGAAAATCAAAGAGATGACCCTGAAGATTCGGATTCTGATAACAGTCTTCCGTACGAAAGTGCTTCTGAGCATGATCCTGTTGTTAACATGCTGGCACACAATATTTTAATGCTTAACTTTAAATTAAAATGGATTCATCAATATATATTTTGTATATAATTACTACGTGGACAATCATCCAATTTAAAAATTGGTATGGTCCATTGAATCTCAAGAAAACTACCCTATATTCCCCGTAAACTGTCCACATGGTATATGGACAGCCTCTTAGCAGGCATGGAAAATCATTTGCATTCATTTCGTGCATTCATTTACATTAATTTGTCCCTAACTTTTTTCAACAACAGAATTTCACAAAATGATGTATGGAATTTTTGTAGGCTTTGTTATTAACTACAACTTTTGTTAAAAACTCAAATCCGTATATCTTATGCATGACGAACCTGAATGCATTTTACATTCACTGAAAAACAATAACAAGTTCTGCCCGCTCTAGTTCATGATGCATAAGAGATACAGATTTATGTTATGAGCAAAGTTGTAGTTAACAACAAAACCTACAAAAGCTCTATACATTATTTTGTGGAATGCTGTTAATGAAAAAAGTTAGAGGCAAATGAATGTAAATGAATGCATGAAATGAATGTAAATGATTTTCCATGCCTGCCCCTAAGTACATGCTACCACCTTCAAGGGTAATAGGCTGCGGTACTAACTTGTGATAGTTCACTTTACTGCGGGATATCCCCATTAAATCGGTTATTTTGCAGCCCCTGGAATTTTTTCACATTTGTCGTAATTTAACTAGTGAGTAAAAAATAAGATTTAGCATTTTTGAAATCAACTATTTGTTTTCATTAATTTTTTCGACGCGTATGACAGAAATTGGCCCCTTATGACGAAGTAGTGCAGTGCCCTATTCATTACAACCAAAAAGATTCGAACTTCACTTTAAAACTGCTTAATAATATGATGGCATGCAACTGAAAGTCAATATAATTTACGTTGTTTAGAACGCTGATCCACAAATACTAATCCGACGGGATTAAACCAATGCAATGCAACATTAGACAAACACAAAAAAAAATCAAACAATAATGGACAGTGATAAATGCGATACCGTAGAGCAGTGATGTTGATGATTTTTGCGGTGGAATGATGATGAAGATGACGTGGTTTATGATCTGGTAGGTACACTACCGTGACCGTTGCACTTCTACTCACTTCTGCTGGCCTACGTATTGTGCAGTGGTCACAGCCCAAATAGCGGTCAGTGCCACCGGGCCTCCCCAGCCGAGCATTGCGTATAGCGTGTGTGGGAAGCGTCCCTGGAATACCGTGACGGTGACCACGTTGTGTAAATATAATCCTTCTATGAACATCCACATGAACATACATGTCCTAGCGTACTCCAGCAGTATATATGAGGCCTCGCAAAGGTAAGGCTGCAAGTCGAAAAAAGATGAAATACAAAAAATGAGCGTGCTTTAACGATAGAACACATTCTGAAGAGAATTGCATACATATGTTTAGTGTACGATGCGTGAATAAATTTGCATTGAATGCATGGCACTGATGATAGTATGACGACGCAGTAACGTTTCTTTGGTCTCAAGGGTGTGCCATTTAGTGAATTCATATCCCTCATGTATCGGATCAGCAATTTTTCAATACTTTTTTTTTTGAATGCACGAACATTGATATGCACACTTTTCTACTGTTGACGAGGTCTATATTAGGGTGCCAATGAAAATGGTCATCTTAAATTTCCAAAACTGACCATATAAAAATTATTATTACTTCGAAAAAAGACCCTGTGCAAGATTGGGGCACAATCGGACAAGATGGGGTGGCGCAAAATCGTCAAAGTTTGAGTTTTTTGAAAACAGAAAATTAACCCAGATTTCATGAAATTTTGTTTTTGCCAGTTCACTTAAAAACGCATGAAACGTCGAGATCTGGTGTTATCACGTGTTACCGTTTGGGTAGTTTACCCTATATCACCAGCACTGAGCAATGAGAGTGAGTGTAGGTATCGGCAATCCATACTGCTATTAAGTATGAACGAGCAAGGCCGACTGTTGCTAACAATAGTCTATTGAGTTATCTATAATATTAATCTATTTATTTAAAGGTTATGCCGAAAGTTATTGTTTATTTACTTAATGTTCTATGTTATAAAACTTAATTTATTAAAAACAAATGAAAATATGTAAAGAAATAGCAGAACAGATTAAAAATACCACTCCAAAGAAACGGTCAAATTAAAATTATCAGAACACAATTTGTAAAACATAAGGTACACTTCCCATACAGACACCACAACCAGGATCGGTTAACAAAAGAGGGAAATAAATGAAAAGTATGACGGGTGGAAACAGGGAGTATGGTCAAATAGGAGGATACTACTGGGTCAGATCGAATGGGCAAGTTCTTTTCCACTTCAGCTCTTCTCGAAGGAGGTTTGGATCATAGTTCACAAACTAGTATCGGTATATTTACAACATAGTCCAAGTGTTCAAACATTTCAAGTCGAAGTGAATTTCCAGTTAAGTAAAGTGGAAATAAAAACCTCAGGAACGCGTTAATCAAAGAATCAGGTAACATACCTAACCCAACTGCCCAGTAGTTTCCATATAATAAGACCTCCCATTGTTTTAACCCAAGGACCCATTGTTCTTAGTTTGAGTCTCCGCTGTTCAGCGTTGAGCCACCGAACGCTTTCTAGACCGTCGGAGCGGTCAACCCCCCCAGCGAGCGTGAAGTTCCTCGCAATCACTGGCGATCAACCCGAACGCTTTCTAGACCGTCGGAGCGGTCAACCCCCCCAGCGAGCGTGAAGTTCCTCGCAATCACTGGCGATCAACCGAACGCTGTCTAGACCGTCGGAGCGGTCAACCAAGCGAGCGTCGGGAGACACGAGATCGCGTCATTCCTAAACTAGCAGATCATCCGCTGGGTCATCCGCCCAGTGATCCACGATCCAGCACGCCGGCCGGCCATTCACACACCCACACACACACACACACACACCCTATTATACGTAAGTAACGTGATATCCTAAATAAAAAGTGCCTAAAAGAAGACCGAGTAGAAGGTTATTTGCGCCCTGATCAGCCTCACCATCTCACTCTTTGTCGAGATACGACCTGGGGAAGAGTCGTGAGCTAAGCCAACAAAAGAGGCTGGTGGAAAGCCCACCCCGTTGGTCCCCGTGGTTCTAGACCAGGGACCTGGGGGATTGCCATAATAGAGAGCTCTGCGCCCACAGAAGTAACACACGAAATCATTTCTCGTCAAAGATCGGCTTTCTTGGACATAGAATTTTCGTGATGTGGAACATTGATGAATTGGTTTATAAAATTATTCCACTTTAGTATAAATTTAAACCATCACTAGCATTTGGTTCTCCATAGTTCACTAGGGTGGTTTATATTTAAATCTTCATAATACACACAAAAATCATGTTTCCACTCAATGCATCTAAAAATACTCTCACTAAACATGTTTCAAAAATTTAGAATAGTCTTGAATCTAACTTATTAAAAACATTTTTGTTAATTTTTTCTATAAAAATTAATCACAGGCTCCATGTACAGCACGACACACATATGACAAAGGCTGCCCCGTAACGTGTGTAGATCACCTTTTCGTGGTACGCTACAGGATGTAAGATCCACCGATTCCTAGTCCTGACTACTTCAAACTACGGGAACAGGATTTTTCAGTAATCAAAGGAACACATTTTAGTCCTTGTTACTTTTTATTCCTTGTTGATAGTAAAAAGACTCGGCTTTGTCCACCGAGGATGATCTTGAAACAAGGAAAAAATGAGTTAGTTAGCCTTCATCTATGTGATACCAAATCTTCTATTCGTTGTTCCCTAGTTTGAAGTGGTTAAGACTAGGGTTCTGATGCATGGTCATTATCGGTGTCATTCCTTAATTTTGTTGCTAAGAATTCCAATTTTGACTGACAAAGAGGCGCGTCTTTGGAGGGTGTTTCAACACTCCGAAGGGTATAGATAGCGGAACCTTTCAATTAGAGTCGGATCCTTGCGATAAATGCGAGAATGACAACAGTAAAAAAATCGAATACTTCATCCTTTTCTCAATAGTGATGGAGTAATACGACATGCACTAAACTACAATAGATCAAATTACTGATCATAGTGGTGTTATGTCAGAGGAGAACAGAAAAAAAAGGCTTGATCACAGGGTAAAAACATATTTTTCGAATTTATTTCCAAAATACTTCGAATTGACATGAGCATTTTTGATCGTTATAAGTGGTTATAATTCTTACTTAACATTTCAAAATATATACTTTCAAAAATCCACAAAATGACGGTCTCCTACGAGAAAACATATTTTTTCTTCAATAATTTAGATTGAAATTCTTTTTTAATTAATTTAATAATAAACTATATTTTTCAGTATATATTTTAAAGCCCATTTTAATTAATTCTCTATAATTCGTTTGTCAAAACCATTTGTTACAATAAATAGTTTATGAGATACATTTTCTCAAACATAGTGCCCATGAAAGTACATATGCCCTCTTAAAATATGACGCATAAGCCAAAATGGTCTATTTATCGATGGAAGATTTATATAGACAAAGTTTCATTTAAATAGGAAAGGTTCGCGGCAAATGTCATGCTCTACAGCAGTTAAAGTTTGTTTAAAGGGAATGTTATTAATGTTTTTTTATTAAATGCTTGATGAAATATATTGGGCGAATCATGTATCCCGAATTACAAACGTCAAATATTCGCCCAGAGCGAACCTTCACCTTATACCATCCTGAAATTTCAAGTAGATCCAAACTATTCTCCAATATTTTGCATACAAATGGGCATCAGAAATAAATATATTTAAAAAACGGTAGAACTTTTGCTATTGACGAAATGCGCTGGAAATTTAAATACGGTATCCCACATTTTTTCCTTACATAATAAATACATATTTTAAAGGGAGATCAGGGTTGTTAATCGATAATGGTCGATAACGTCTGCAATGAGAATTTTGTATTGTAGATGTTAGCACTGACGTTATCGATGGCTACCGATTAACAACCCAGAGCAAAATAGATGTTCCACGTTCCAAGTAGTCATAGATCAAAACATGGATCATTGAGATTCGGATTACTAGCCACTAGAAACTATAAGTATAGTTGCTTGAATAGTCTGTCGGTAGTCACCTTAACCTGTCACCTGGCGTCAATTGAGCATAAAGTTTTTCAATCAATTTGACCGAACATGTTCCGGGTATACCCAGGGAAGTGGTTAATTTCTGACTAGGGTAAACATCCATCATATTCTTATTTTTGTCTTTGTCTTTGTTCCGTCCCTACTCGGACTTTACGCCGGCTCTCTACTTAGTGTCCTTTTAGAACTTCCACAGTTTTTTTTTTCCTTTGGTTTGTTTTTTCCGTCGATCTTGTTTTCCGTGCTGAGCACCAATGCTACCGACGTGCCAGGAAGACAGCTCCCACATCTGGACCCTACCTATCGACCCATCAACTCATGAACCGGGGACCAACGGCTTTACTTCCCATCCGAAGGAAGGCGTGATCAGAGATGTTATGTCTCAGAACATCCCGGCGGCGCCGACTGGGATTGAACCCAGGCCTGCTGGGGTGAGAGGTAATCACGCTTACCACTACACCACCGGCGCCGTTAACTTTCACAGTTGTTAATTGAGAGGTTTCTAAGCTTGTACCATTTTTGCATTAGTATATATATCAAGTTAAGGGCTGGGAATTGGACCCCGTATTCTCCAGCATGGTCTTACTTTATAGCTGCGCCAAACAAAAAATAAAAAAAATGCATGATGCGATACCCTAAATCACATGAGAATTCAAAAACTAGTTCAATGGTAGTCATTTGGAGTGCCCACGACCGCATTGGCCACATCCATTCATGGCATGGTATGTTGTATTTGTAAGATACATTAACGAGGTTTGTAAAGTAAGTGTTTAACTCATAAAACCTGTCTATTTAATTTTCAGAGAATCAAGGTTGCAAATACTCATTTCAGCTAAAACAAGGTTTTTCTGAATTATGAAATAATTTGATGCTATGATCATATTTTGTATTGGTAAGATACAAGAAGAGGTTGCATAGACTATGTTTGACACATTAAACCTGTTTATTTCACTTCATGAGAGTCACAAGCAGCATTTTTTCACTCACTCACTCAATCACTCACTCACTCACTCAGCGATCAGCAAATCGCTGATTGTGACTCAAAATTGACAGGTTTTATGTGTCAAACACATACTTTGTAACCTTTTCATGTAAATTTGTTTTCCGTCGATCTCGTTTTCCGTGCTGAGCACCAATGCTACCGACGCCAGGGAGGCACCTCCCACACCTGAACCCTACCCATTGACCCATCAACTCATGAACCGGGGCCCAAAGGATTTACTTCTCTTCCAAAGA